GTATATATACTGAATATATTCTGTAAATGAGTGCTGTTTTCTGACTACAATCTTAGCTGTGTCTGGTTTTTGCTTGAATACAGTTCAATGTAAACACAACAGGTGAAAAAAATAAAAGGATTTTCAGATTAATAGCTTTTTCGAGATTCATCAGCCCCAAGACTCAGTCTGTCAACATCTTTTTGTCTTCCAAATATACATAACATTTATCAGATCTGTCGGCATGGAAGAACTGATCAATGATCAAACCGCTCTCCCCAGAATGCAAAACTGATCCAACATCAGCCGTCCTGCTTGACAGAGCCTAATCARTGTAGGCTAGTATACTCAGTAGCCCCATCCTATAATTGGTTAGATTTCTCATGTATGTTGCAAAAGTGTCAGTCTGTTCATCTTAAACCAACTCCACCTTGGAGTTGGGGTAAACAGCCACGACGTCRTAGCCCTCAGGGGGTTGGACGCGAGCCTTGGCGTGGGTCTCACAGTACAGATTTTCCTCGATGAAGAAGTAACCCCTCTGCTTTAGGTTGATGCCGCAGTCGTCGCACACGAAGCAGTCAGGATGGTAGAGTTTGTCTCTGGCCTTTACAATGGTGCCACTRAACAAAAAGTCAAGGGAGACAGAAATGATTGGCAATAAAAATCACAAGAAGAGAGTTATTCTAATAAGAACAATATACGCAAAAGTACATTTTTTTTTCTCATATACCCAAATTACAGCTTACTTCAGTCCAATTTGTTTTAGCGATATGCAAACTGGCTGATGCATATTTAGCATACTAAGTCATTGCATTTCAAATGTGATTGTAGAATAAAACTAGTTATTACACAAAAAAATAAAAAATAAAAAAACAAACGTTGGCTTTTAGTGACTGAAAACTAAAAAACAAGGAAAAAAAATCTTCTTGTCGAGTTTAAAGATTTGGGAGTGCAGCTCATGTAAGACTTTTGCCACACAAGAAGAACAACTGAGAATGTTTTCTAAGATTACCTAATTGTGAGCCACAGTTCTTTATAATTATGTATTTGAGCTCACAATAAACCTATTTTCAATCTGAATTCCCCATTAAAGTCTYTTTGTGCTATAATTTCACCCATTTCATTCCTGCCTAGGGCATTATTGGGGTGGGTTGACTGAAAACTGTTGTAAAATAATAAACAACTTTGAAAGCCGACAGAGTTTTTGAAAGCAGGTTTCAGGGAGGTGACTTCAGTGCAGAACAGCGACATAATGTTGAAAAACTTTAAAAGGTGAGAGTTAATGATGAATTAGGTTGAATGACTCATGGTTGTTTATCCAGCTTTCTATTATCAATGCAAATCCATCATATCACTCTTTACAGCTGCTAATAACCCTGCAGGTTTTTGAATATGAATATCAGGGAAGTTTTTTTATTGAAAACCTTAAGAGTGGTTTTAAGATCATTACTGTCACACCTGGAATATGAACGGCACATATTTAATCCCTTGGCTTGCTCGCTGCTGATGACTAAGTTTAGACGCTCTGCACTTTTGCTTACCGAATAAAAACAGCTGTAGGAGCTTTAAACATTCATTTAGTTTTACTTTCAGGATTTAGAATCCGGGGTAGTGACCATTTACTCCTAATCCTGCTTCTTTCTTAACCTCTTTTCCAATCCAGTCACATAACTTCTGGACACAATGCTCCACACATGCTCAAAAGGCTGTAAAATGCTCAGAAGTGACAACAGGCTAACTGTGGCCTGCAAGTCCCCACAAGGATCTCTTGTGAGCAAGAAATGCAAGCACATGACATCACTGCTTACCTGCAACTGCTTTTATAGAGGAGGGATTACCGGTGCTTATGGTTACTTTGGCAAGAACGTTTAAGCACTTCTGTGTAACTGAGCAGTTATTTGGAAAAGGGTGTGGAGGATGGCTTTGATTAATCATTAAAACAAATGCATGGAGAACTGAAGGCTTGTTGGTGCAGGTTGTTGGGTGTTCAMCTCTTTGATTTTGATCACAGCAGAACGTTTGACTTTGCACAGCACAGGTCTAAAGTTTTATGACCACAGACGACACAACCAAATAAGTCAGAAAATACCAATTCCAGGTGTGGTTTAAGTGTTTATAAAGCAACTCATTCAGCGCTGTATCATATTTACAAAAATATGCTTAGTTTTACTTGTGGTTTGTATTATTTAATAGTGGAAAAAGGTCACAAATCAGTTAAGGAGTATGATTACAACATTTGCTCCTAATATGACTTTTAAATTTTTTTTGTTGAATAATAAAAAGCTGGTATACTTACACAATGCCATTACAGCAGCGCGTGCACTGGGATAGCTTCTGTAGACCAGACATTGGGCTGGGAATTGGGTTGGTAATGGGGCTCCCCAACTTTGGTATCGGAGATCTGATTGGAGACTTTAACTGTCTCAGTCTCTCTGTTGGTGACATACCTAGGAGTAACAATACAAACATAAACTAAAGATAGGAACCAGAAAAAAGACATAAATGTGACAAACACAAATGTGTTTGAGGGAAATTCATTGAGTTTTATGTTGTGAGARCTTAAAGGAGACAAATCATGCTTTTAAATCCTTCTTTTACACATTTAAATCATTCAGTTGGGGTCTATATAAAGTGGAACTGCAATGCTTTGGTCTGAATTCCTCTTTATTTTAATGCCACAAGCCCCTCTTTCACCTCTTTTCTGAGGTGCTTCTCAAAGCAGTTCGTTTTGAATCCAAAACGAGGCTCACCCCCTCCTCCAGTTTTCAGACAGGTCTATTACAGTTTGATAGAGAAACGTTTTATTTAACAAGGGAAAACTTGTCTATCCAGGTTTACATGTTAGAGTCTGACCCAGAACCAAAGGAGAATGAAGACCACCAAACTGTAGTTCCATTTGGCAGTTCCATCGCTAAAACTGTGACGTACTAGTTCAGAAAACATCAAAGAAAATAGAGAAAACTGAACTGTTTCAAAAATATGACCCAAACAGAACATAAAAATATCTTTGCAGCACCAAGATAGACTAAATTCAAAATTTCTGCACTCCAAGTACAAAACAAAATACTTTTAATGGCTAAAAAAGTGAATTTTGCACGAGATGTTCCCTTTAACAGTGGCTGCCGTGTCTGTTCTAACCTTATTCTGAGTTTCCTTTCTGATGGAGATTAACTGTTTCATTTGTCCTTTTGGTTTAGGTTAGACACTAACAGTTATTATCTAAACCAGATGTGAGCAAGAAAGCAAATTCTTTACTACAAAAAAACATGCATGTGACATTTCACACTTGTAAAATGTTGCATGCATGTAACATTTCACACTTGTAAAATGTTACATGCATGTAACATTTCACACTTGTAAAATGTTACATGCATGTNACATTTCACACTTGTAAAATGTTACATGCACGCAACATTTTAAAAGTGTGAAAAACTTTAAATCCCAAACCAAGATCTATGTGTGCTCTGAGAAATAAAACACAACAAAAAAAATACAGTTTTCATTCGTAATTTTTATTTTGGTCTCATTAAGGCAGAAAATCACATAGGGAAGGTTCATTGTTTTGAGGTTAAACAGACTCTTTCAGCTGTCAGTGGTGTAATGTAAACCTGGGCAGAGTTAAACAATTAAATCCTATCGTTCTTTTTATGACAAGGTCAGGCCACAGTGAGCAGTTTTTTTACACCTTGGCAAGTCAAAACATGAGGGCAGCATGGTACCCTGAGCTCTTTTTCTCAACTGAATTAAAAGTAAGTGTTGAAATCTAGAACCATACTCAGTGTCTCTTACTTTCCTCTGGCCCTTACACAGTATAGTTTCACAAAATTTCCCTTCTCTGCCTTTATCCTATGCGTCGTCCTCCACGTGACTCCGCTGTGTCGCCAGACCTTTCCTGTATGATCCATTTAAGGAACACATTTTGTTGTGGCATTTCCTGGTAGGAATCCATCAGTCAAGCTGGCAACACACCAAATCACACACGAAAAACATCCGATGGAACACAATCCAAGATTTCACCATCACACCACTCTGCTACAAATCACCTGATAAATTTGTCCGACACATACTAAGATGTGATGACATTTACGGCTGGTTGGAGGCAGCTTCTTTGGATTTTAGGTAACTGAATAAAAATGTTGTTAATGTTCCTTTAATAAATGACACATATGTGACAGGAGCTGATGAACATGGAAATAACTACGAGTCCCAACTTTCCCAAAGATGCCTTGTTTTATCAGGAGCTGTCAGCTTAAACTGCTGAGTATTTAGTTATGCCTGCTTAGAGTGTATGAAAGTGACAAGCTTTACGCTGGATGTCTGAACCACTTCAGTGATTCTAAGCGCAGCATGGCAGATCAGAGGAGCACATGCTTAGACTGCAGCCTGACCTCCCTTCACTGATGATGTGCCAACAGAGGATATTCAGGCCAACAGGCCAGCTTTGACTAGCACTAACCACAGTTTAATTACCCTGCATCTGGAGTCTGAGTCAAAGCACCTTATATTGCTCAGAGAAAAGTCATCATGTGACTGCTCCACAATGTGTTTGAGAGATGAATTTAGGTCTTATTTGTGGGAATAATGTGTTTATCATCTACTTCGGTATGTAAAACAAAAAAATCTACTTCACATATGACTTTTCTAGTGTTATTTTCCTTTATCTTTTTTGATTAATAATCTTTTGTAAATTCTCTCCTGTGCAAAAGCACGTTAAGTCGCTTCATCAGCCACTTATGTTTTATTCACAATGCTGTCAAACTGTGTTAGAGCCTGTGGAATTCTGGGTAAATTGACACTCTTGTTTACTTTAACTTTAAAATCCCCTAAAAGTCAACATGGCCCCTGCAGGAGTTTTTCGCCTTCAAACGAGGASCAGCTAAAGTGATTTAAAAGCCTGACAATGGAGGACGCATTCAAAAGAATGATGGTTCAACTTAAAGCTGAGTGTCAAATGTCAGCTCGCCYTTTTCTCTCATTATGAGGCCGTTAAAGAACAGCAACAGAGGTGTGTGCAACATCTGTAGCTAGATTACACATTCTCACACAGATTAAATGACAYAAACACTAACAAAGAGACACACAGCTTTTAAAAAGGGGCCCAAAGTAAAGATGAGGTGTCTCCATGTTCCACTGAGGGCTTTAGGTGTCAATCAGACTCGCAAACTGAAAAACAACTGATAGCAGAGAAGAGAGGCTGCTTTTCATCTAAGTCCATGAGTGGCTCTCTTCCCTCAGTTGCTTTCATTCATCGTTAGTATCTGTCTTCATCTTCTCTTATTTTGAAATTCTTTTAAATGGTGTTAGAAGTGATAAATTAGGGAAACTGTGATTAATCTCTGTCCCAGAGTTCAGTATGGAGTAGTTTGCATAGTTAAGGTTACGTGTTAAAGAAGWCACATCTCACAAAATGCACATTTTTAGCTGGTAAATTTATTTYGTTGTGTACTTGGAGTCTCTAGGAGTACAGAAAATCTGAATTTAGTTTCTCTCTGTGCAGCTCAGAAATTGTTATATACTGTTTGGGTCATATTTTTCAACCCGTTCWGTTTTCTCTTTTTTTCTATGAAGTTTTCTGAACTAYTACATCACAGTATTTGCAACAAAACTTCTAAATAAGGTCTGAACTTACCAAGTGCAATTTCATTGTCCTCATTTTTRTCTGGCTTTCGGTCAGACTGGCTGGATGGACAAGCCTTCTGGTGTTGACATCTTTTAATTACTTTGTAAATAAATTGTTTCTGTGTTGGTATTTAGTCGTAAACCCMTCTATCAAACTAGAATGGACCGTCTGGAAGCTGAAGTGTGGYGGGGGGTGAAAAACACCTTGTTTGAATTTAAAGAGGCAGCCTCAAAATGAGTTATTCTGAGACACACCTCAGAAAAGGGGTGAGAGATGGGCTTGTGGAGTTACGGTAAGGAGGAATTTAGACCAAATCATTGCAGATCCACAATGTATAGACCCATACTGAATGATTTAAATGTGAAAAMGAACAATTTAAAAGCATGTTATGTCTCTTTATGTCTCTTTTAAACCTGTTGGTCACAATCAGATGCTCTGTTGCAAGGACTGTTTTCTAGTCTACAACACAGTTCGGTGCCCTCTTATGCCCCTTTTCCACTAGTCCCACTTAGTGTAGTGTCGGAACGGTTGGTTTTTCACTTGATGTTCCAGTCCGGTTCCAATGGGTGTGTTTTGGGCGGTTGGTGGAGGTGGTTTTTAGGTATTATGAATAAAAATTAATGAGCAAAATGACAGATGGAAACACATTTGATGAATAACTTTTGAAATTTTAAACACTGGCAAAAATTTAGCCAATCAGTGAAGAACAGTGTTTTGACATTCCATTTTCATGTCAGTTGGGGCCGGTTGGAACCACAATGAAGTAGGTACTAAAAAAGTGCCGGTTCCATGAATCTGGCCTAAAGCAAATGGCTTGGAACCGTTCCGAACCGTACCGACACTGCACTAAGTGGCACTAGTGGAAAAGGGGCATTATACACTTACTTGTTTTATTTATTTTTAACTGAATAAGATAAAAATGACTAATGTCATAATGTTGATTATGCTAAATAAATTTAGTAGCATGCATTCCCTGGAGCTTGAATTGAAAATAAATACTACTGAATGCTTTATTGTAGCAGCACTGGCATCCAAAATCTACTTCAGTCAACTAATAGGATAAACTGTGGATGATGGGTTCTCTATTTGACATAAAGGTCAGGAAAAAAATATACGTACATGTATTTGTTTTTGTTTTTACCACTACAAAAGCAAAAATGGGGACTTTAACCAAGTTAAATAGTCATTTACAATTGGTAGTACTATATTAGCTAACTAGTGGCAAATGTTCCTGAGCAGTCCCCAAATGTTTGTCCTGCATCAGTGGCTAACATGAGAGCTGAAAGGAAGGTTTTAGTTCCAGGGATTAGTTTTTTTCCTGCTGCAGTCAGCATCACATGAGCTCCCCTCAAATGTTGGAATGCCAAGTTGTCAGACAGAAAAGCCATATTTCTCAGTTTATTGTCTTTTGTGAAGTAGCTTTTGCAGTAAATTTGCAGTAAACTTCCCTCCCTTGCAAATTCATCCATAAACGAGCAGTTTAAAAGGACTTTGTTTCTCCCCCCTCTTCCTGTATTCTCTATGTTTCTTTGTTTTAATCTCTCCCTTCCTTTCACTGTGTCTTCTAACTTCATTGTATGTGTTTTTCTATAAAAGGAAAACTATGCAGCTAAGATGGAGGAGCTGCTAACAGATGGAGAGAAACTGCCTGAGCACGAGTCTCATCTWCAGATCAGTGTATTCATTTCAAATGTCCAGTTTTCACACCAAGAATTGAAGCGATTTAAGCAGACTGAATCACATATTTATTTTATACCTGCTGTTTACTTAGAACACTGAATTATTAGTTTTATGTAACTTTCCTTTTAGTTGAGTAATATTTAATTAAGCCAATCGAAAAAAATCTAGCTCCCTTAGTGAGATAATAAATTAAAAAGGGGTATTAYGCAAAATCAATATTTTTGAGCTTATATCATATTATAATGTCATACCCCCATCCAAAMCATACTCAGAGTGTTGYTTTGACTCATTYATGCATGTTTGAGAAATCCTTGAATCTCTTGAAGAGGATGGTCAGGGTTGTCTGCAAAGGTCCTGCTTTTATGTAAATGCTTTTTGCACTGGTTCCAAAGTCATCCCCAGAACAGAACCAGCCATCTTTAACAGGTTTTTTAGCTCTTTTAAATCCTTTTTATGTAATTTTAGGTAATACTTTTTTAGGTAATTTCAACACATTTAAATAGACTATGATGTAAAGTCAAATTTATTTTTGATATATACAGCATTTTCGTAACTGAAGGTACCATAGTTACTTGATTGTGGTACAGAGTTGAACTATATGCCTAGAAACTGTAATACCACCCCTTTAATCTAAACACATTCTGGGTATGTTTTATCTTACTGTCATTTCTAGGATAAATATCTACRTMTGTTGTGTTTRTTTGCCAATGCTATGTTAAACAGTTGAGTTGTTGTGCTTAACATGCAACTAGATAAAGACACAATTTAAATATACTTTTTGTTTGTACTGATCCTGACCACCATGTTGCACTATTTTCTGCACCACCTAATCAAAAAAGGGCAATATTTAGTCTGAAGCAAGATRTTTGTGGACTTGTCAGCTTTCCTTTTATAATACTGTATTTTCAGAAAAAGGAATACAACACATATTTTAGTACAATGTGCTTTAAGTAAAAGTTAGAATGCAACTGCCTCACTATCAAACCTAAACCCATAAACTCATACCTCCATCCTCAGCTTCCAGAATCTCTTGAAGGTATTTGAAGGAGCCAGACTGTTTGGGTTCAGAGGCTGGTACTTCATAGTCCTGCAGCATCTTGTAGACGTCTGACTGTGGGTCGAAACCATTACGGCCCACGGGGGACTGTGGGGGAGCCTCGGGGCTGTGAAGCAGAAAGGAAGTTGTTGTCAGTTGTATGTTTTTGCAAGGAACCTGACTTATGATGGCAGGAGGAAGGGTAACAAATGCATTTTTATTTAGTTATCTCTGGGGAGAAATAAAAAAAAAGAAATATTGCTAATATATTTATTTATAAATTGGTGTAATGTAGTCACAGCCTCTCTGTGCAACAACTGGATTCATTTTTCTTTCTGTCTGTCTTTTGGGTGTTCTGGGTTCTTCCCACAATCCAGAAACATGTTAGGTTAATTAGAGGTTCTAAAATGAACGTAGGTTTGAGTGAGTGGGTTTGCCCTGTGATAAACTGCATATCTGTTCTGAGTGACCCTCATTTCTCTCTATGGCAGCCTAGATGGAAGCCAGTTCTAGTGAGACCTGGAACACAAGAAAGTCTGGGTAGGATTTGGACAAATGATAATAGTAGAATGTTACTCTAAAACGTGTTTCCATATTCTTTGTTTTGTTGTGTTTTTCCAAAATTTTACGTGTTTTTGCTTTTGTTGTCTAATCTGAAAAATTGTTTTTTTTAAAACATTGTTTGCCATCTTGCATTTATGTGCTGTTTGATTTTTTTTCTATTTTTGTTTGTTGTTCGATTTTTTCAATACGTTAGTTGTTAGTTTTTTTATTTTATTTTGTTATGACAGCAGATCTATTACCTGTCATTCTTGAAGCACTCTTGGAAAACTAGGACGCGTGCAAAACCGTAAAATTAACAAATATATTTTATCTGAAAACATATCAGCAAGCAAAAACACCTAAATGAACAGATTTAAAAGAAAGAGGGCATCAAAAAATAAATAAATAAAACAAAGCTGCATGCACACTTCCATGTGTGCCTCTGCATGCTCATTATTCCACCAGATTACTCCTAAATCTCTACAGATAAACTATCTCTCTGGACAGTTTTAAACCTACAAACTTTGGGGCCGCTGACAGATGAGTACAAATCCAGACACACTTAACAGCATGTTTGTCTCCAGGCTCCTCTTTAGATGCATGAGTGTGTTTAGAAGAGAAGAGTTTCAGTAAAGTGAAACAAAGAGAAAAGCAAGCAGTGAGTGGGCAGGAAAAAGTGAGTGGCATCAGGTTRTGGATATTTAGGAATGTGTTTAACTCTTTGGCGATGTGGTAAAGATTAGTCTGATCACAGGGAACTCTGGGAGACAGAAGACAAGTTTATTGTCTGCTGGAGAGGATGAAAAACCACAAATGGTTTTTCCACGTTGTCATTGCAGGTGTGTTAAAAGGTATCTTAAGTGTGTGTGTATGGTGTGTGTTAGGGTCTTCACATACTTGCTAAGTGTAAAATACTGCTGCTCAGCTACTGAAAAAAATCCTTCCTTAAGAGTTTTTAACAAGGGAAAGTTTGATGGATTTTAGAACCCGTCACCTGAGACTTTCTACTATTTCCTTGTGTGTTTTTCTCACAGCCGTGGTGTGCGTCGRGGCTGATCTGGGAAATTTCATCAAGAGATATTTCCAAAGCTGATAAGCCCTACCTTAAAAGCTACAGTTTAGATAAGGTTCATGGTTCTCTGTTTTTACAGGATCACACAGAAACTAAAACATGSCTCTTTTTTGTTCTTTGATCTGTAWTTTATGAGATGAAGARAAAAAAACGCTCACGATTATGATGAACACTCTGCAGAAAGTACAAACAAGTAWAACTAAAAACAGGAGCAAATTTAGTTTTGAAATAATTATTGATTTATTCTAATTTGTGCACTTTGAATGAAGTTCATTAATTGTTTGATAATAAAAAAAATCTGAAAACAATAATACTAACATTAGGTTCAAAATAATCCACTTGTGCTATCAATCTTAGTAGTTGTTAAACACAGGTTCTGTTCACCTGAAACTCATCAGACTGAAGAAGTCTCTTGGAGGAGAGACTAAACGTTTCACTAAAGAAGAACCATCCAGAGGACCTACTTATTTTTTTCTTTTTGATTTTTTTCTACCTGGATTACTGAGAYGCATCAGGACATTGGTTCTGTTGAATTTTGTTTAGGATAAAACATACAAAAAAATATAAATAAAAATCACAAATGTGTCTCACCTGTGTGTGGCACTCAGGCTGAGACCCCCCATCTTGTTTGGAAGGGCTCTGTCTCCATTGCTGCCATTGTGAGAGTAAAGCCCTGATGGGTTGTTGTACTGAGCGTTCCCGGTTCCATTCCCATATCCATAGCTGTAGCCGTTGTTGGGTCTGGAGTGTCCGTTATTCAGGTGAGTAGGCTGAGGGGGCTGAGGGTACAGGGGGGACTGAAGGTGCTGAGGGGAATGACTGTGATGAGGGGGTTGAGGGTACTGGGGGGGCTGAGGGGACTGCGGTTCAGAAGTATACGAAGGTTTCCGACCATAACTGCCAAAACCACTGGTGATGGGACGGAAATTCTACAAACAGAAAGAAAATAAAAAAGAAAGGATGTTTTAAACATGTTTATATACATATCTATCTATCTATCTATCTATCTATCTATCTATCTATCTATCTATCTATCTATCT